AAGGTGGGCGGTTCAAACCCATCAGTTGCTCTGTAGGAGAAAGATGAGTCTATCTGCTTCCATGAAGATTCCTAGTCTTGGAAGCCCTGTGGAGTGGCTGTGAGCTGGAATCAACTCTATGGGCAGTGGGCTTGGTTTGTCGTTGTTGTGGGGTTTTTTAATATCTTTATAAAAGCAGATATCCACATCTTTCTCCTGAGGAGCAGCTGGTGGACTTGAACCAAGGGTCTTTAATTAGCAGCCAAGCTCTTAACCTCTGTGCTGCCAGGGCTCCTTCTGGGGAACAGGGCCCGTCACTAAACCGCCTGCAAAGGATGACCTCAAAGAAGTCGTGGGTCTTCTTCAGGAGATGTTTGAGTTCTGTCAGTTGCAGGAAGCTTTTCTTCAAATCTTGCTGGTTGTGGTTGGCTTCCTGTAGTTCGCCTTCCAGTTTCTCCAGAACAGTCTACACCGGAGAGAGGAAAAGGTCAGCCTGACAGAAAGCAGGATGATTGTGCTAGTTACATCGTCTGGTGCCAACTTGAGACTATTTAGAATTAAGGGGTGGAGTTTAGCCTGCCAATCAGGTCGCAGCTTGATGACCTCATCTGGAGGCGCTAAGGAGATAAGTAGCTCATTGGAGGTCAGACACACAGACTCTCTGCTTGTCTCCCTGTGGGACATTCCTGTTGACAAGCCATATGGAGCTACGCTGATGGAGCCAGAGCCTTGGAGGTGTGGGAGCCATGTGGAGACCCACACCAGTGCTGAGAAGCTTCTACCGCCACTGGATCCACAAGACTTTCCCCACACTGGCCTGTGATCTTCCTGCATTTGGCATTATTGCATGGCTGCATGAGTCTAAAGAGGAATTGATGGACTAGTATTGGACAGATGGGCTAATATTGGCATTATTGCATGGCTGCATGAGTCTAAAGAGGAATTGATGGACTAGTATTGGACATATGGGCTAATATTGGCATTGTTGCATGGCTGCATGAGTCTAAAGAGGAATTGATGGACTAGTATTGGACATATGGGCTAATATTGGCATTATTGCATGGCTGCATGAGTCTAAAGAGGGATTGATGGACTAGTATTGGACATATGGGCTAATACTGGACTTGATCTGGGCTGGGATGTTTTTCAATATGCATTTGCTTTTTTATATAAAGCTCCTTCTTATGCACATGCGTGTCTATGCATTTGTTTCTCTAGTCCACCCAGACTCACACAGTGATAATCTAACTCAGCATAAGTCCCAACAATCCTTCAGCCCCACTGTCATGTGGCTTAAATGGAATGACCTGATCCCCTGGATCCCCTGTGGATCTGAGAGCTACAGCCAGTTCACGTTCTTTCTAGCACACCCTCATCAAATGAAGGGAGTGTTTAAAAAAACAAAAACCCTTTTAAAAGGGAGAGTAGAAGGCTGCTTCCTGGAGAAGTGAAGGCATTTCAGCAACCCACAAGCTGCACACCTCTCCTCTATGAAGGGAGCCCGCAAGTTGAGGACGATGGATGAAGCTTGGATCATCCCCAGACCACCACAGACTCTGAGCTGGGTTCTGGAGAGTCAGGCGCAGACCAAAGGGGACGCAGAAATGGACAAAACGGAAACCCAGCCACTAGCCCTTCCAAAATGAGCTTCCAAACAAGACAGGAGACTTGATGGTCAGAGACTCTCCATCAGCCATGCGCACAGTGTGATGGATGCCCTCAGGGGAAGCTCTCCCCGCATGGGGGAGGAAGAGAAGGAGGTGGGTCCAGGGCAGGCTCGTCAGGTACGAAGCACTGAAGGATAGAGGCACAGGGTTGGAAGTGACCACGGGGCCAGCAAAGCGCCGTGCTCAGAGTGGAGGCCATGAGAGTCGGCCAGGCTGAGGAGGGCAGCTCCGATGGGCAGGGAAGGGGTGGCATCTGACCAGGACACATTCCTGAGCAGGGACGGGACCAGGGGGAACAAGTTGCATGCACAGTAAATCAGTGCTTGTGGGCAGAATAGATTGTACTGATTGTCAAAAAATTGGGGAACCTGAAAGATGCCTGCCAACGTTGCGAAATAAGATTTGGACAAAAGCAGAAGGGGCATGTGGTCCCACGGTGCACGTGGATGGGTGGAGGCGCTCGGAGGCTGAAAGAGATGGCGCGAGGTGAGAGGTCCAGGATAGAAGACTACCGCCCCCACATTGGGGGTGGTTGGCGGACAGTCTGGCTCATGTTGGTTAAATGCTTTCTCCGAAAATATCCGGATTTTGATGTGACAAGGCTCCAAGGCATTTGCCAAAGGAGTCAGCATTTCCACACCTAAAACGTCAAGACTAATAATGCAGCGGTTCTCAACCTGTGGGTCACACGCAACCCCTTTGGGGGTCGAACGACCCTTTCACAGGGGTCACCCAATTCATAACAGTAGTAAAATGACAGTGATGAAGTAGCAATGAAAATAATGTGATGGTTGGGGGTCACCACCACATGAGGAACTGTATGAAAGGGTCGCGGCGTGAGGAAGGTTGAGAACCACTGGGTTAATGGCTTCGAGAATGTTGCTCTCTCTTTACGGACAAGGAAAGGTGGAAAAAGGAAGGGAACGAGCCAAGCAAGACTCGGTCAGCGAAGCTCTCAGCGAGCCGTCCACCTCCCTGGGCAGGCCCTTCCTCCTCTGAGACTATTCCAACAACTCACGCCAGATGCCCCACGGGATCCCGCAGCCCCTCTCCTGGGTGTGCATCCTAGGGAAAGAAGAGAGGCACGCACACCCACCTTCATCTCGCACAAGGATGGGAACGACCTAGACGCCCATGGGGGAAGAGCAGGTAAGTCGGCATCAGTGCGTACACGCAGTGGCGTCCTGCACAGCGTGGAAGAATCGTGGTGAGTCCGCAGAAGTGCCCTATTACATACATGACGGACCCAGAGAGCACCATGCCGAGGAAGCGCCCACCACATAGAAGACATACCTGGAGGGCACCTCGCTGGGTGAAACTGGTCCCTCCCAGAAGAATAAATGCCGCCCGAGGCTACGACTCTGAACAGTCAAGCTAGGTTTCCACGCTGTGAGAAACATTCTTTGATGGTTAGCAAGGGCCAAAGGGGGTGGGAGGGAGGGAAGGGAAGTCACTGGCTAGAGGGTGGACAAGTGTCAACTTGGTGGAAGGGGAAGATAATATGCGATAAGAGAGGTTAAGGGGGAAAGGGGTGGGGGCAGGGGCACACTGGGAGTTTTCGAGAATTAAAGGCAGCAGAGGCAAATAGTGACATACACACAATCCTGCAAGTGTGGTAATGCTCGGGTAGACACGCAGGCTGGATACGCGTGGGAGGGAGAGGGGGCATGCAGAGGGATCTGGCAGAGGATGTCTGTACGTGGGCATTTACCATGGCGGCAAGTTATAGCCATCAATGTGGTAGAGCAGGCAAGGGGCGACGGTATGAAAACTTCTGAGACATCAGCAAACGTCTTGAAGGAATGACTCTCAATGGACACCAAGGTCAATCGGCATAGCACAGCTCACAAAGACAATGGTCTACAGCCTCCTCTGGTGAGTAGGGACCGGGGTCTTAAGGCTCAAGAGAGGCCAGCTAAGGTGCAATGATCGGTCTCTTCCGATCCAGAGGGGAACAACGGGGTGAGAATGGATGAACTCGGGCAAATGGACAAATGGACCAGGCAGATATCAGTCTGCACAGCCTGAGCCCAGAAGAACTAGATGGTGCCCGGCCACCACTACCACTTACCCTGAAAAGGGTCACAGTGAAAGGTCCCGAATGGAGAGGAAGGGACTGTGAAACAAGACTCAAAATAAAAGAAGAAACCAGGCTTACTGGTCAGACAGAGACTGGTGGGACGCTCCCCAGACCGACCCTTCGTCAGCCTTCACGCAATACCATGTTAGCGCAGTCAACCCCTTAAGATCAGAGGGGCCGCCATTGAGCCCAGGACTCAGAGCTCAGAGGGTTGAGAATGCAGGAGGGAGGGGACCAGGGAACACAGGGGGGAGGAAGGAGCTCTTGAGGGGTTGGCGATGGATGCACGGACACAAAGCGAATATGAGTCGTTGGATGGAAAACTGGTGACCTGCTCTGTAAAG